AAATACATATCATGTTTTTTTTTTCATTTGAACCTTTGCCGGCTTATTAAGCTTACAAATGTAGTGTACATGTTTTGCAAATATTTTAGTTTGTTTCTGTTTCCAAAACTTAATGTCGACGTGACTGAATGAAATATTTGAAATTTTTTGAAATCGTGCTTTGACTTATACAATTATTTTCACTTTAACACTTGCAGATTTAAAGATATAGATACTCGCCATCTAACGGTGAATTCTGATAATTGAATTTCGTACTTACATTTTTTGAGCAATCAACGCAGAAAATAAATCCGTATTAAAACATTAATTTTTTAACAAATAGCTTAAATAAAGTTGTTAATAGTTTAAATAATAACAAATAGTATATAGAGTTAATCCTCTCTAGTTTATTTTTTAGATAAAAAAATCCTCATGATTAAATTTTCATGCGTTTTTATGCAATTCAAGTACCTTGAATAAAATTCCGTATCAATTACATTAATTATCATGTCTGATTTTTCCATTAAATCTGCATTGAATTTCAGATTTTTTTAAACAATTAAGTAACAAATCGTGACAATCTTTTAAAAGAGATGCTTACACACAGAGAAAAGGAATATTTACTTCAAATTCAAGGAGAAATTGTTTTTTTTCCTTCGTACAAGTAAGCCGAATAATGTGCCGTCGTTTAAATTGCGGGCTAGATTACTCTTAGGAGCATTATAACCCATGGCCAAGCTTAATAGATTTTGTATAAATTCCACGTTTTCATATTAACAAAATGCAATATTCATGTTGCATTATAATGGGGTAGAGTAGCGAAACTCATTGGAAAAAAACTCACGGTTATAGTCGTCAATATAAGCTCGAGACCCAATATTATTAATCTCATTAGCGGATGCGAATTAATTTTCTAGCTTACGCTCGATTACAACGTACAAAATGCAATATTATACGTTCGAGTTAAACGCGAATCATTAAATACCGGGGGAGAAAGAGAGAGCTGTATACCATGAGTTATTTTACCACACACAAATAATATTGTCACGCTCAAATAACCCCTTTTCCTTCTCATTTGATTTTCGTGATTATTATAGCGTGCGCGCGCGCGCTAATGCACGATCAGCACCGCGTGCGCGAGAGTCCTTTATGCGCGCCACGCAGCGCATAATAAATTCAAAATTGCAATCAACGAAATATCCTAGCTCGACTCGCGCGGCTATGATTCTCTCGAATAAGAATGCATTCAATTATACGCGTTGCTTTTCTTCGGCGAATTACGTCGCATCTATACACTCATTCGCGATGCGCAACGAGTCGGCCACGCGCCGTCTACTGCTGCTGAACTCGGGCAATGAACATTGTTCGAAAGTACATCTCAGCGAAATGTATCGTTTCGTACTACGCGTCCTACGTTATATGTCCTGCAGCCCTGCAGCCGAAGGTGCACACTGCACACCTCGTCCTCGTTCAAAGTTTTTTAATCAGGATACTGAGCTCTGCAGGCGTAAAAAAGTTTTTCCTCCTCTATCCTTTATTCCTCTCCTCTTTCTCCTCTTTTTCCATTTTGAAGTCATTGCGCATATAGATGCTACAGGATTCATGCCGTGCGCACGCGAGGACTTGAGTGTCAAAAGCTGTATCCGTAAAATATCTATCAAAAAAATTGAAGGCTCCCGAGAGGAGGAGAACACACCGTAGCAACAGATATGCAGCACGGGAGGTATACACTGCTCTACAGTATACACTATCATTCGCCTTTTTACTTAATGGTCACGCTTGGAAAACTCCAAAGCGTCGACGACGAGCGGAGGAGTCGCTGCGCTCATGAGGCCGCGTGCACTTGCATAATGTATATATTATGGAAGTGAAAAAAGAGTATCCCTCTATCCTATCGTCATCAACGCCAACGGAAGAATTATGCATAAGCGCGACGAGAGTCGGAGGTCTGTTTTGAATAAAAGTGAGATTTAAATTGAATACATACAGAGTGTGTTGATACACGCCGGCTGCGGTACATAGACACCGCGAGGCCTTTGCCTTTGCTGCAACAGAAAAAAAATAAAATAAAATTTCAGAAAATATATCAATTTTCATACTATCGAGTTGTATGGTTTGAACGAAGTTAATTGAAAAAAGTTTTGGAAAAATTTTTCACGACGATTTATCGAAACGCATCCCATGGAATATCATTATGCTCGCGCGTTTCGAGCTCGCGAGCTAAATGAATCAGAGAGCGCGCGGCTTGATTGGAAAAAAATTTTATCACATAAAAATGCCCGCGAGCAGCGGCCGAAGAAAAAGAAGACGCGTCGACGGAGAGGGGAAAGGTGCATGTACGCTTGTCAAGGAAAATAAAAGCACGAGTCCGCAGGTAAGAAACACATACCTTCGGAATATGGCCGAAGTGAAAAAAAATTAAAAGCCCCGCGCTGACGTATACGCGTTATATATCGGCTCGCATGCCTTGGTCTCGTGCACTTTAGATTAAGTCGCACGTGGATTTAAGATATCGGAAATTATTGCAAAATTTCAATACGATGGCAGAGAGAGAGAGAGAGAGAGAGAGAAGGAGGAGGAGTAATTTATGCGATTTTATTAGTTATACTCCTTTTTTTCCTTTTCTATAATAGGAAAAATTATAATGAGACATTTGCTCGATTAAAAATTAAAATGAAGTTCGGATTTGTATTCAGAATTTTGTATACGTTATTTGTCATTGAGTGACAAGCATGAGGAAATTGAAGTAGTATATCCTCATCTAGAGACTTGTGTGGTCAAAATTAATACGATCAAAAATGTATATTCACCTACATTTAAATATATTATACAACACGGACAAACTCGTGATACAATTATTTTTAGAAAACGTAACTCATTACGTCCAAGTTCAAGTTCAATCATGATTCATCAAATATGTGTTTGTATGGTATTATGATATTTCTAACGTACCCTTGAAGGTGTACCCGACACAATTGCACGAAGAAATTCGCATGGAAACAGCGCGACAGCGGCAGTTATTAAAATAGAACATTTTTTTTAAAAACGAGGTTAAAATTCCGCGAATGTCAGAAGAATTTGGACGTGGTGAATCGGCACGGTAGCTAGGAACGTTAATTGCAGCTATTTTTAACCTTTTTTCCCTATAAATTAAATATATTACAGATCAATTCCAGTAGCCGTTGTAAAATTTATATATTCATGAGAATTTTAATGACGCCACGTAGTACCCGCGCAAGGAAACATTGGCATTCGCGATGCGAATTTCGCTACTTTTTTTTCCTGGTATTAGTATTATAATTAGAATGATAACAAATTTACACGGGTTGTATGAAATTATCCGTGAGGAATATTTATTGAGGATAAATTTCACCATCGCTACGGTAATAGTAATAACAACAATGATAATAATATCTGTTCTATGTCTGGAATAAATATTTTGCGGCTAATTCCGATTTTCATCGTTAGACATCGGTACACGGCCGAATATTAGGCGTGAATCATCTCTCGACTCTCAGTTTTCGGGAAAAATAAAACAAAAGCGCCGCACACACACATACACGCGCGAAGTTAGCCATGAAAGTTTTATAAATATAAACGTGCGAGTATAGCGCGCGAGCGTGTAAACAAATAATACATACGTACTAAGTAAGTTCCAATCAATAAATCAATAAATAAACAACGCTAATTCGTTTTCAATGAATAAAATCGGCCTCGCGTATTACGAAAGCTGCGAGCGAGCGAGCGATTATAGAGCTTAAAAGCGCAAAAAAGAAAATATATAATCTTTAAACTCACGTACATAATAACGCGTGTATCTTAAAAACAACTTATTATTATATTGCATCGTCGAGCGTGCGTATATATCTCTCGTTACTTTTGACATAATTTTCTATCGCGATGAGTAATACACGCGCGCGCGAGTCCAAGAGAGAGAGAGAGAGAGATGTTTCGCGTATGCATGATGACGTGTCGATAAAAACAGCCAGATGGGCGTCCGCTACGACGACGACGACGGCCGCCACCACCACCACGTGTGCGCGCTGCGCGTTATATATGACTTAACAAGTATTCGGACAATGAACTATATCTGTGCTCTCTCGCGTGCACGCAGCACCGACCGAGCCGAGCCGATGTCGCGCGGGCAGACGTCTCGAGAATTTCGCGCGCTCGCACGAGCGCAAAACGGTAGCTTGCCTGCTATGATGATGATGTTCCTCGTGCGACGACGACGACGACGTCGACGATGACAATGTACATCTTCAATTGTTTCCGTGTCTCGGAGACACGCATCGACAGGTCAGCAGCAGCAGCAAATTGTTGCGTACGTGTGGAAGATCGATCGATAAATCGGCGCACATTCTTTGCACTCGACAAAAATGTTAATTTATCGATCGATCGGCGCGATATTGAGAAAGCTAATGAAAGTATGAATCAGTATAATACTAAAGTCCATATAATAATCGGACATCTTGTAATCTTCGCGGGTCTTTCTCTGCTGCTGCTGCTGCTGCTCGGAGCATGAGTCAACAATCGTTAATATATATATTCGGGCATTGCATGCTTAATATATACAATATACATAAATTTTACGACTTCCGAAGAAAACCTGAATAGAGTTCGAAAATCTTCGCGCGCGCTAACACGCCGCTGCTGCATGTATAATCAGCCCGCGCGCGAGCTCACAGCATGCGAGAGGCTAGTCCGGTCGCGAGGAGAGGCTCCTTTTTAATTTACGAGCGCGCGGAGAACAAAACCGACTTGTACGATGATCGGACTGGAAATCGATGCTCAAGAATCGGAAGATAAACAAATGAGCGGATCTCTCTCTCTGTCTCTTTCTGTCTCTGTCTCGCTCTTTCTGCAGATATATGCATTCGTATATGCACACATACACGCACCGATGCACGCGTATAATCTGGTATTTTCTTCGGCCTGTGGCTCGCGTGTGCGAGAACATGTGCATCATTGGATGCGAGCATGTTGCATTTCCGCGCGCCGCAGCAGTCGTGCGCGCGATACAAGTTTGCCGAGAGCAGCCCGAACAAAACGCGCCAAGAGAGAGAGCCGCGTGTGCTATATAAGAAGCCGAGCAGATAAAAGAGTCACCAAATCGAATTAAAAGCGCACCATATCGGGGACACCCCCGTATGCGAAACGGTATAGTGCGTTGTCGAACGTTGTCGTTACCTCTCACGCACGCTTCCCCGACACCTGATTGTGTATTTTTGTTTGTTTGTTTGTTTTTTCTAGTTCGACGTACTTTTAACGACGTGCAAAGTGATGAAAATGTGCTCCATATTGACTAATCGACGGCACGTGCGCGCAAGAAAAGATACTAGTTTCGCCGCGCTATTGTTGTTTTTAGTAAGTGTGACATCATACAAACTATAGCTTAATTTAAAAAACAATGCTCGTAAATTTTCTATAAAAAAAAAATTTATTTTGATTCGAACGAACGAGAATAAATTCAATTATTCGATGAAACGCGCATCATCGTTCTCTCTCTCTGTCTCTCTCTCTCTCTTCCTCTTGCCAAACGAAACGATGCTAAACGATGCATCGGCATAGAATGTAAGTGTGGCAAGATGAAAACGTTATATAATCCTCGTTTCTATGCATACTGATAAAACCGCAGATGTCGAATGTCTGATACTTTTTTTTCGTCTCTTTTGTATATCTTAGAAGGAAACAATATTCGCCGCAGCGAACAAACTTTCAATGTGAATACACTTTCTTAATGCCGCGGAGATAATAACTTTTCATTCACTAATTGCATTGTTTGTATCGAGAGACTATCGGCAATTTTTTACTGGGGCAAATAATTTTAGAATAATGCACAAGTATTGAAATTGATTTTTTTTATTATTATTTTACTTTTTCTTCTACTTTTCAGATTTGTTTCAATGATTCATACCCAGTCCTGAACAGCAGCGAAGTAAACGTGTACGATAACTTACAAATAAATAACTGAGCTTTTTTGTTTTTTTTTACACCTAAAAAATCTTTTTTTTTCTGTCACCAAACTCTAGGATACAGAAATTAATCTGGTAGCGGATACGTTTGAAAATTACATCTCACAGGACGACTTCTGCCACGGGAAGTCGTGTCGGGATGCGTACGAATCGGCCGATTATCCCTACGAAAAGATGGTTGGTATTTTTAATTTTTCCATGATGAAGGACTCGTTCGCCCGCCACAACCTTAAAGATAGCTCGATGAGCAGCGGCGGAGTGCAATTGTACGCGGAAACGGCGAGGTGAGTCGAAATTTTGCACGATCACGCACAAGATGCAATTTACAATATATTGTAAATGCAGATTTGTATGAAACAATTTGTTCAGGGGTTTTCAAAACTCAATGTTTGACGTTAGAATTGCAGAGCCCATGTGCGAGGAAATCGTGAGTGTGACGTCACAAGCTCTATACCTTTTTTAAATATTAAGCCGCTTTTTATGCCTTAATTGTTATACGAATACAAATTTGCAGTACCGGCGTATATATCCGATCAAAGGTAAGGGCGTCAACGGCGGCAAGTACTTCGTCGTCAACGTTCCGGATTTCAAGCAAGGAATCGACGTCAAGTCGTGCTAGTGAGTGCAACAAAATTATTTAAAAAAAAAGAGTGAATTTATTAAAGCTCTCGTACGTTTTTCCGCAGCAAAAATAAAGTATCCTGCGGCGACGACGGCTCGAGGCCCGAGAACTACCAACGAAACTGCCAGCAACAGTACGAGGTGCTCGAATTGTTCGCCATCTCGGTCGGCGACAACGTCACGAAGAGCCAGGTGAAATTAGAAAAATTTAGAAATCCCAGCGGCTGCGCGTGCCAAGAGTCGCGAGTGTCGAGCTTCTTGAATTTTTTTTTCTCGTGATATTGGCTCGGGAGATTAAGCTTGAGAGGGTCGCAACACACTCCTCCGATATCGACTTTTGTTAGAGAAAAAAAAATCGAAGCAATAAATAAATTGTACACTAGTATTTATATACATAATAATACGTATATGATTACGCCACGAGTTATATGTAGCAAATGAGAGTATTTAGTGTTTTTTTTGTCGGCGGAGCCGCGTGTCCCGCTTTCCGCGATTGTGATAATTAATATTGTACTTATGTATGCACTCGAATATTACGCAAAAATAATGTGTAACGACGACGATAACCATTCACAGATCTTCTATTTAGGTTTACAATATTATATACGTATACGTCGTGCGCGCGCGCGTGACACGAAATGTGTCTATTGCGCTACATACGTTATAAGATAAATAGAATTTTAAGCTCGGTATTGTAAAATTAATTTTCGTAGGGTTTTTTTTATCGCTCGACTAGACGAGAAAGCAATAACGATTGTGGCTTTTTCTGCGGTGGAATCTCATCAAAGAATTATTACGAAATATTGTAATGTATTGTTAATAAACCAATAGAAAGAAGTATATATATCTATTATTTATTGATTGAAGTAACAACAGAATCATGAAAACTCATTCCTCGATCCCCAGGAACCTCTATGTACACAAAAGAAATTCTTTTATTTTTGTATTATTCAACGTATCGAAAAAGATCTTGCAAAAGTAACTGTTTGATCAACAAACAAAGCGGACTCGATGAGAGCGAAAAAGCAAAAAATAAAAAAAAAAGAGGGAAGAAATTGCTGCTGAATTTGCGATTCGCATCGCTATACAAATGTTATTGAAAATGGAAATTCCTTGGCTTACCGATATAACAAACAAAAAATAAAGTCACTTTTTTATTCCGAGAAAACTGTGCGCGGCGCGGAGATGAGTGCATTGAACAGAGATCATTTGAACGTCGCGCGTACTCTACTCTTGAGAGAGAGAGAAAGAGAGTGTACGCGTGATAAGACGGTTATATAGATAAGACTGCGAAGCCGCAAAGACATACATTTATGTATAAAGCGGGATTCACAATTCAAATCGCGAGCTTTGATTTTTCTAGTCTAACGATAGTTTCGCAAAACTTTGTATTTGCGCGCGAGCTCTTGTGAATATGAAAAAATTTTGTCGTTTGTTTTGCTGCAATGCAACGATTGCTTTTTTCTACTCGGAGGGGCTCTCTCTCTCGTCGTATAAGTATAAACACAAGTGCACGCGTTTTTTTTTTCATATCGAAGAAAATGTACAGAATGTGCAAATCACGTCAAATTACATAAGAAAAATGAATTCTCGAGAGTGTGTATATATGAAATACACACGTTCGATCGTTATTAATATTAAAATCCGATAACTTTCAATGAGTCACTGGCATGAAATGTGCGTGCTGCTCTCCCCGCTGCTCCGCTCGATAGGCATCTTAAATATAAAATGCAATATATAATTTGTTTTAAATATTTACGCGCTCCGTGAGTCAGACGCGAGGAGGCAGTTAACGCGAAATTTCAGCAAGTGATAACTTACCTTTCCTACATATAATGTTATTTTAAGAAAATCTAAGATGCTAATCAACGCGCGCAGAAGGTATTCCGTATTATTAATAATTTCGTCTTCGTCGTCTTCGATGAACGCGCGCGTATATAGCTTCGTGCGTGATTCACTTTTACGTCGAACGCGCGCGCGCGCGCGCTGCAATGATCGCAGCGCGAACGCGCGCACGGCCACCAGCAGCGTAGTAAAAATTTTTTCATCAATGAAAGAGCACTCCCATACACATGTATATACGATCGTTTAGAATTTTTATAATCCCGTATAGATTTTTATTAGATGACGAATATGTATTATGTGTATGGGTCAAAAATCCGCAAGTATATATCGATGCAACGCGCGTATACATTATCGCGCGTGTACCTACGTGTGTTTGCGCACGAGTCACCGCGTGTGGGGCGGCACATTGCTCTTGAAATTCTTGCATAAGCTTCGTCCGGGTTATTTCAATGAGCGAGCCGAGGTCCGATTTTCAAACGGATTATGCAAGATTCACGCAGGAACGTGCGCAGACGAGTCGTCGTCGTTATAATACGAATCGGCAAGTGGGATACATAATGTAATAATAATGCCCAAGCGCGAACGAGTTACAAAATCGGCATGTGCGTAGGATGTGCGGGTATGCTGAGTAGCGATCGCGCGGTGCTTTAAATTTGAAATTCAAACATTTATCCTGGAATTGCGGGCGCTTGTATCGCATTTTTTAATTTTTTTTTCTCTCTCTCTCTCGTTTTTTACAACTTTATTTTTCTAGCGAAGCGCGTGTACACGCGGAATGTAAATATGTTAATTCACCCGAAATTTTCGAATGTGTGTGTGTAATGTACGTGTGTATCCTGACCCCCTCGGCGATGTAAATACAGCTCGCATGTAATGACGTACAAACGCGCGTGGATGTATGTCGAAATCTCGCCGGGGTAAGTCCTGTTTGCGCGACACATCCCGCAGAATCGATTATTTATTTGACTCCTTTTTTTTCTGTATCTACTCTTTGACGCTCGAGCCATTCATTAGTTAATGCAATATGTATATACTACGGAGATATCGATAGCAGAGTGAGTGAGGCAGAGAGGGGGGCCACAAGAAGTAAAACGAAGAGCACGAGTATAAAGGAGAAGAAGCAAAACGAGGAAGAAACAGAAAAAAAGTAGAATAACACGGCAGGTACGGGTATATATTTCTCGTGAATGAATAGGCTATTGGCAAGTTCAGTTTCCGTGAATCGGCCTCGCCGAAATCTCTCTTTCAATAATAATATAACGTAAGAATAAAAAGAAGTCAGTCATTAAGAGACAGGTCGGTGCGCGCCAAAACATGAATGAATGAACAGAGAGTCCGCATTATACACTCGGAGTCGCGAGTCGGGTGTATGATTCAGCGACACAGCTGCTGCTGCTGCTGCTGCCGATGTCGCGCGCCTGGCACACGCACACAACCTTGTGCGAACTATATCGCATACACGGTGCAAGTCATCGATGGAATGGAATGTATGCAAGCGGCGGCGTAACGACAAAACAGACAGCGGTGGCAGACGTCCAGTCGCGGCTGATCTCTCTCTCTCTCTCTCTCTCTCTCTCTCTCTCTCTCTCTCTCTAAGGTGCGATTATTATTACTATATTACGTGCTGCTGCTACTGCGCGGTCGATCGGCGATCGCGATCGTTAGCCCATCGGCAAACGCGTTGACTAAGCGAGCTCCACTTGAAGCGGCGTGTATACCTGCCTTTAATATTATGATATAGGCCTGTATGTATACAGAGAAGCGAAAGCGAGTGTGTCGTGCAGCGCGCGAAAAATAAAAAAAACACACGACACGCACGTGATGACGAGTACTTACGCACGTAAGAAGTTTCGATGATCATGCCTCTATACCACCATACACACGCATGAAATCCCCGCCACTTTGGCAGCAGCGGGGCCTCTCGCGCGCGCGCGCGACAGGTATCATAGGCAGCAGGCCGGGCGCGCGTGAACGCGATTCATCATTTAAGCGAGCGGAAACCGGCTTTCTTTGCTCCCAGAGAGAGACTTTATGGCTAGCTGGCATGGTATTGCATATCCTTTCCTCGTGACGTCAGTGATCGCTCCTACTCCGCCGATGCATATTATACATACGTACGCGCGTACTTCCATGGGAGCTGCACTGACCACGAGCGCGTGTGTAAAAGTCGCGCGGCGCGATAAAGTTGCATTATAACGCGTGTGTAAATACACTCATTACGTCGGACCAGTTTACGCACGCGAGGGAGGGAGGGGAATATATACATGGTATGCGCATGATGCATCGTACGCATACGCCACTTGATGCAACTATTGCGCGAGATGTGCGCGCGAATCGAAGGGCTGCTATACCTATATCCGCTTTTATGGGGGCCGCGGCAGCAGCAGCAGCAGCCGACAAGACATGCATACTCACACGTATTTAATACGCACGTTTGAGCGAGAGAGAGAGCGACTGACCGATCACGCGCGCTCGCCGTGGGTGACTCATCGCGTGGATTGCCCAGACTGCATGCATTTCTTATTTGTCATTCTATTTCCTTGGGCTTTTGTTTACTTCGTGTTGCAAAAATCTTCTCTTTTTCGGTTTTTTTTATTTTATTTTATTTTATATGACCAACCGACGTAACCGTTTTTGCCGATGCCTGAGCAATAGCAGCACTTTGAACCGAGAGCGAGAGATACACACTAATTTGTTGAATAAATCAATTTTGCAGCACGGGCAGACTCGATTTCTTTCGTTATTTTCCTTACTCTCTTTTTTCTTTCCACTTTTCCTCGCATTAACTTTTTTATAATGTTTGTCATCGATGGAATAAACGATATAGCCAGCTCGAGCAGTAGATGCACTTGCGCGCGCGCGCGCTCGGCAAAAGTCAACGACCATGCGCTGCTGCTGCTGCGATTTCTGCTGATCAAACGCTTTATTTTTTTTAGAACGTCGCTGCTGCTAGAACGCGAATCGCGCCTTCTTTTTCCTCGTAAAATGATATTTACTTTCTCGTATATATGATTTGTCTAATTACGATCGCGGCAATCGATGATAAAATCGATAAGTCGTCGTGCACCTGCGTCATCGTTACATTGCGTGCGCGAACAATGATCTCTCTCTCTCTCTTTCGCACACTTGTCCATATTATAATACGCGTCGATGCGACGACATACTTAACAACAATTTTGTCGCGCGCCGTACATATATAACGAGATTATGTACGTGCGAATTTCGAGGCTATTTTCGATCGAAAAAATGTTCGATACGCTGGTTGTAAATACACGATGTTATGTGATTTTGACCCAGAATGAAGTCGAAGGTCGTGTTTACGACTTACGTCACATTAAACATTTTTAATCTCGGCGCAGCATCTCGCGATTAAAAATAAAACAAATAAAAAAAAAGGAAAGAAAAAACGTTAAAATTACACTAAACATCACTAGTAAATAACCATATTAGCCGGTTCGCGATAATGTGTGACTTATTGAGAGGCACGCGTCGCGTGGCTCGCGCGCGCGCGCGACGTCTGCGGCGAAAAAGCGCGGAAAAATAAAAGAAAACAAGACGAGAGGCAAAAAAGTAAACTCTTGATTATTAGCCCCCGGGCTGCTTCTGCTGACGACGCATAGTACAACACACACACTGAGAAACACACAGACGCAGATCGCGAGCTCTCTGCCCAACCAACGCACGCATCCATATAGTGCGCTTATATACACACAAACACACACGAGAACAGGGGGAGAGAGAGAGAGAGAGAGGCCTCACGCGGGAGAAAAAGTGATCGGGTGCGCGACGGAGCGCGCGTATAAAGTGATAACTGATAAGGCCGCTCCATATATTATAAAAGAGCCTCGCCGGTCCAGGATCCCGCACAGACAACCGTAGACTTTCTGCCCGTCGAGAACACCTCTTGAGTATAGTGAGCGCGTCGCGGAGTGTGTGGTGTTGCGCGCAACTTCGACATATATACGTATCATATATATACACACGCATTTTTACCTGTATAGTATAATATACGCGCCGCGGCCAACGAGAGAGCACCTGTACTCGTCCGCTCTGTATTATATATATATCTCAGTGCCAATAAACGAGAGACGCGACACGCGCGCGCACACGTCGCAGAGTTTTTAAATAATTGTGAGTTGAAAAAAAAGAGTGATCGAGTGCGAAGAGAGAGAGAGAGAGACATTTAAATCGTCCAATTGTTTTATTTTTTTTGGAATCAGAGACAGACATCTCTCTCCGGACAAATTATAAAGATGAATCATCAATTTGCAAATACGTTATCAGTGGTTTTCACTTCGGCGCTGATTTACTTAATATTGGTGAGTGAAAATTTTTTTCTTCTTCCTTTTCTTTTTCTCGTGTAAAATTTTCTGTTTATGATTTATTTACGTAACGTGTGTTGCCTTTATTATGCGTCGTTGATGCAATGATGCATCAGCTGTCAAAACAATTCATTTTTTTTAAGACACTTCGCGATGAACAATCGAGAGAAAATTTTAATTTCAAACGCTCGATGCAGTCGCACGTATACGCGCGCGAAGAGTGTTCGGTATTATATGTACAAGTCTTTTTATGCGTTTATCTGCTGCGGTTGCATTGTTGGTCAGTGAGAACAAGTATTATAATTAGAAATGTCACACATGGAATGACTAACAAGTTTTCATTGCATAGTGTAATAAGCAATGTATATTTGATATCGATTGTATCTCACTCGCTCTGTGTTTTACGGATTTTGCAGTTGACGCAGATAGCACAATGTTTCAAAGATAATCGCTGGATCTACGAAAACGTCAACCAGCTCACTTATACCGAGCTCAGCAATAGTGAAATCAAACTAATATCGGCGCTCGGGGAAAGCGGCCACAAGCCGCTGCATTTGCAGGATATCGTAAGTTCGATAATCTCGAGGATTATTTTTTATATATTCGTCGATAATAGATAGGACTCATTCGTTACTTTTCCCTATATTGCAGGCGAAATTACAATTTCCCAGTTTCGACAGCGGCAAGAAGCATCGAAGGATACACAAAAATATCGATGTGAAAACATCGACGTCTTGCGGCGAATTGACCTGCGAGAACGTGGAAAATTATCCTTTGGCTGCGATACAAAGGGCTTACGCGAGGACTTTTTTACTGGTAAGATGCGAGTTTTTTTTATTTATGTTTAATCAGCTAAGTCTTCATGAACGTTGTTTTAAATTTTGTTCATTCGTTTGGTCACAGAACAAGCCATCGGGTCACATTATTAATAGTCCACTTACGAAGATCGCTGCACCGTTGAAAAGTGTCAAAGTTGACATTGGCGTACGATTTGGCGACGACGGCGACGATGATGATGAAATTGACGAAAACGAACAAATGGACAGTGCGCGAAATGCCCAGGATTTTCCCGAGTTCAGGCCGATATGCAGAGTTAGGGTAATTTTCATTATTATTTTCTTCCTTTGAATTGTACACTTTTATCTGTTAAATTAATAAAATTAATAATGATGATGATTTTTCATAGGAACAAAACGAGTATCCGCAAGAATCGGTGAACAAAAAATTGCAGCCAAGATACTTGGTTAATATACCAAGTAAACTGGTGCCGCAAGGCAGAAAATGTTTGTGAGTTTTAAATTGCATAGTTGAATAAAAAATTTTTTCATCGTAGCAACAGTAAAAAGAAAACCACTTCATCTACTTTTCAGATCCAAAGGATGCTGCACGGACCAGCACACTCCGGAAGGCTACGTATTCTTTTGCAGACCGAAAATTTCCTGGACCACGCACAACGTGTATATTCCAGAGATAGACGATATAAGAAACGAAACGGTAGCCTTTCACGACGGCTGCGAGTGCCATGAATATCGAAAATCCGACGTGGAATGTTAATTAAGAATGTAGAGTATTTTTATATTGCTTCGAGAAATTTTTTATAGTCTTCGTTGTATCTCGTTTTTTGAGCAAGGCGTAGATTTTGTGTAGGTTAAAAAAAAAAGAAGAAAGAGAATCAATGTACTTAAATCAATCGAACTAGCAACAAAGGGATCAAAAAAGTATTGTAAGCGTAAGTAATATTTTTTATTGTAAAAACGACTGTGTATATTTAAGAGCAATGAGCGTGCCTTATCTATACCGAGTAAAAGCTGTGATGATTAATCTTTAGACATTATAGTATTGTAAATACTAGCGTATTATTAAGTGATTATTAATATATTGTGTAATTGACGATAATTTAATTTCTAGATATTAATTACGTTTTTTATACATAATCTGAAGATTAAACGCGAAGCATTTGGTCAATTCAGATTTTACCAAGACTGTCTATAAGATTCGCTATTATTATTGTACTCGCGTTCATAATGTATTATGGAGCAAAAAATTATGGATTCCATTAGGTGTATCATCGATATTAGGCGTAAACATTATTATCCTGCTAAGTTTAGATCAAATTATATTTATGATCGTACTATATGTATTTAAAACATTATTATTCATTAGCTGTTAATTTTATCCGCGTCTTAAATCTTTTTATCTATTGTCATATAACGTTTATTGCTTGTAAAAACCTCCGACTACAAAACGAACCTAGTTTTCACCCGATAAAAAATGTATATCTTTACTCGATTGAAATACCACTAGTTGCATACTTTTCATCGATCAATTTCGTATACTCAATTATTTTATCGCACGTTTCGCAAAATAGTTTGGCCAATATTTAGTGACATTCCCAAGGAAGTATGCACGAAATACATATAGCAAATGTTTAATCTCTCACCGATATCATCATCATCATCATCATCGTGAATATTTCATATGGACTTTATAAGCTTAAACCAATATATGTATTAAAAGTCAATAAAGTTAATTAAATAATTGAACGTAATTTGATACTCGTACGTATGTTCACTTGTTCGCGAGGCGGTGAAAGCCGCACCACACACGCACGATCCCAGTGCAGGGTGAATCGCGACGAAAAATTCTTTGCGAAATGGACTTTTGAACATTTTCAAGGGTATAGAAAAAAAAGGGGCTCGGGGTATATCTATGCAAAAGCTGTATACGTATAAGCGTGCGAGTAGTGCGCCACGTAACAAGAGAGTCGGGAGCAAAAGCCTGTATAGAGAGAGCTATATAGGTACATTCAACGAGAGAACTGCAGCGCTGCCGCCGAGCTATACTGCTGCTGCTGCTGCGACAGCTGGTAGTTAGTGCGCCCGACCAAAGGAGATGGATGCGTCGGGCTTATTTGCTGGGCCAGCTCTGTGTGTGTGTGTGTGTGTGTGTATGCAAGCTCGAGCTCGGATCATTGAAATGCAAGGGTGCAAAGATCGTGCCGCGCACACATACACAAGTGTATATAGTCGAGAGTATACACACGTATGCAGTAGTACGGTATTGCCCTACATACAGGTAGAGCTTTCTCCCTCATTCTTCCTTCCTTTCGGGCCGAAGCCGACGTGTGCTGTATATTTATCCCTGAAAATGCGCCAAAGCCAATGGATGTTGCAATTTTTCTCCTTCTCTCTCTCTCTCTCTCTCTCTCTACTTTGCTTCACTATATCTCACTCTTTTATCTTCGAGCCCCTCGAGCTCTGGCCTAGGCTCTCGCTTGCTTACAAGAGCGCAACTTTCTTTACCTCCTGCCCGCGATCTGCTTTTCTCACAACTGCATACGCCTTTTTTGCTTATCAAGAATTCCGCGAATTTCGTTTGGATCTCGGCAAAACAAGATATATAAATGGATTTATGGCTCGTAGGTTCGCTTCGTTTGAGATCTCAGCGCGGCCGCGTTATCCCGTCTATTTCGCGATGTTGTACAGTACACATGTATATTTGTGCATGCCGCATACGCCCGTAATAAAAACACGAGTCTCTCTCTCGCTACTTTCCTAAGTTATTCAGCGCACACATACAGTTGCGCTTATAATGCCGATGCAAAGTCATAAAAATGTCAATTGGGAAAATTAAAGAGAGATTTCGGTCGGCGTGTTCCGTGCAGTAGTAGTAATAGTAGTAGTAGTAGTAGTAGCTGTGAAAATGCGCAGCTCCGGGGCACAGGTAGCTTTCCTCGGCACAGTCTGACATCGAAAAACACTCAAGATGCGAGTTCCGATCTTGCGCACCCACCCACACACACACACACACACATACAAAAGGGCTTTAGGAAAAACGTCCTCTCTCTCTCTCTCTTCCCTCGGCGTGCCACGCCGTCGACGCCTGAGCGACGTAAATAAATTGAACTCTCGTAGTTGTGTGTACGTGTGTGTGCAGTGTGCTTGGGTGTGCGAGCAACTATTGCCGACGAGGAGCAGCTTGTACATCCTTCTCGGAAGAAGCGCCACAAACGATTTATTGCGATTTAAGCAAGCCTCGATGCATCGAAGGCGGCTTCTGTATAATTAATGACACATTCAACATTCCCATATCCTCTTTTGCGCGCGCGGGAGCGGGAGCGGCAGGGCTAACTCTCTATATACTATATATACGGTGCGCGCGCGGATGAATGAGGAATGAGGTCTTAGATAGAATTCCGAAAGAGGAAGTCTGCCTTCTCGCCCGCGCGCGCAAGTGCGAGACCGTAGAGCAGTATATAAGAGCAAATTGAAGGCTTATTGTTATCGGGGGGTGTTTGTGCTTACGCGCGCGCGCGCCCTGGAGAAGCTATTATAGTATTGATGGAATATAGTAGCGAAATTCGAGTCAGTCATTTTTCATTAGAAAATTAAAATCTAGCCGCGTGGAGGTTCCATAATTTTTTTCTTTCTTTTTTCGTCGAAAGTAGTGTGCGAACTAAGCTGTCTGTCGCGCGCGCGCGGGCGTTTATCCTCGAATTTTTCCGTAACTTTCACGCGCGCGTGGCAAGGGGTGGTGGTGAAAAATAATCTTCGAGCGCGCCTAAAAAAAATGACTGTCATGAATTTACGGCTATGGGAGTTTACGAAAACTTTTGAGTTAACTAGTCGATTAATGAAGTCCTTTGAATGAGGGGGGCGGGGGAGGGGGCGATGCGTATTGTCTAGACATGAGTTAACTAAGATCATAAAATTTAAGTACCTTGTGTCAGCAACTGAAAAAAGTTTCCCAAAGCGCGTATATAGGTATACACGGCCGAGGCGAGGATATATGTATTCATGGGAAAGGAGAGAGTGTAGAAGGAGGAGGAGGGTATAAAGACTAATAACTGATGCGGCAATTATTTTCAGAACAAAGGCTTCAAGATTTATCATCCTTCGTATTCATAGAAAATAAGAGATGTAGATATAGACTTGATGGAGAAAATCGAGAGACTTTTGAACTTGGAAATTGCCTGAATTACCTTGGAATCCAGCCGGGGTGGTCTTACTTGAAACTTTTGATCAAAGAAAATAATTTTGTCGTGTTCATCGCTGCACTTCCTTCCTATTCAGCTTCGTTTGTCTAAGATACTTATTCTTCTTCTTCTTCTTCGCCTTCCACTTCTTCGTCTCTTCTCTCTCTCTCTCGCTCTCTCGTGGTGTCATATTTTCGTAATTGGTACTCAAGGGTAGAAGAAACGAGAGAGTCGCGGGAGGAAAGGGCACGAGAAAAAAAGAAGCGAAGGAAAAGGAAAAGTATAGCAGCTTGAGTGCGGAGTTATATAAAAAGGTCAAAGGGACTGGTACTGCGCACGGTGGCGCTGAATTTTAAATCATCGCGCGACTGCAATCACGTATTTGAATATTTTTCTTTGTGTACGCGCGCCACGCTTCGCGTTCTATGGTACATGCTCGATCGAGCCCGTAATGGCTCGACGTCGTCGTCGTCGTCGTCGTTTCTGAAATTACATAGCTTCGAAACGTGCGCTTTTTGCATTACTTCTCGGCAAACGTTCGATTTTTATAAATATTTTTACGGAGAGCAAAATTGTTTCATGCGTCTCTCGTGGACTCGACAATTTTTTTAACGCCTCGTCGGTCAATCTGTGTGAACGTCTGCTACTCTTTTATATTTCAATGCATCTCGAACTGAAGTGGTATAGGTGAGGATGCAACGACAATTGCACACACGTATACATCAAGTGAACTGTATTTGCCCACTTTCAGAATAATTACGTAGTGTACTTTCTTACAATTTTTTACTTTTATATCTAAAAAATTTTCAGTAAAAATAAATAGTTAACGCAGTTTTTCGAGAGTAAGTTGCACTTTGTATATTTTGAATGAATGAAATCAGGCGAATCAGATGGGGTGCATTCAAAGCCATCATGCACGAGGTGGCTCGATTTTCAAATAGAACTTTCAAACGAACATATTATCTATAGCTATTCTTCGTTTGAATAATATACTTGATGCAAATAACTTCAAATGAATATTTAGTTATAATGCTTGTTTTGAATTTATTTTTCAAATTCGTAGCTATAGCGATTTCCATCCGTGGGAATAATTCACATTTATCAATGATATTTGGTGTTTTTCAATCCAATGTAATTTGATAAATTAGATAGGTATCGTATTAATATTTTGAATTTAAATTTGTTTATTGCAATTGACTATATAGAACGAATCTGTAATTAATAAATGTAAGCTAAATAACTACATCTATATTAATGGAGATATCTCAGTTTGATCCGCAGATTAATTGAAGGATCAAGTCGAAGAGATATTGGAACAAAATGAATCCATCAAATCTACCCTAATCGTAGTTACTTTATTGCAGCGTACCTTCAATTACTTTATTTCGAAGAATAAATCTTAATCCCATAGCTTGGATTTTTCTAATAATTCCAGCTTTTTCAAAAATAACTCGATAAAAAGACAATCGCATTGTTCATAATATTCTAGTGAAGACCGTTTGATGTAAACATTGAAAAATAAAAATATAATAATTTGAAGCAATGGAAATACAAATAATACACAATAGAAGCTTTGGTAAATAATTAGAACGTTTGTAACGATCATGTAAATGATCGTAATTTCATGTTGAATGAGGAAAATAGCGTCGGTAAATCGTACGTAAATAATGATGAGCGAAATATCAGCTCTATCGGATAGTTATTGAGTCAATTGAGTAAACCGATCGTTTGAGATTGTTTTTTTTTTAATAGCTGCACGGCATTAAAGAACCATAAACATGGCTATTAAAGGCACCACAATTTTTCATTAATTAATCCCATGGGCATCTGCGTGAAATAAAACCCAGCGCAAAGTTACATTCGTTTTACCCTCCCAGCCTTCGAGAAGTGATACACAGCTGTAGACGCGAGGCAACTAAATAAAACACCCTGAAGATTAAATTTATCGAGTTTCTTTCAAATTTATGAATTGTCGTTCATTCCTAGTCGCGAAGCGAGAGATTTTCAACTTCGACGAGTTTCGCAGCAGCCGAACAAACATGTTTAAATCATAACCAGATTGGGAACGGCCGTTGCGATGAAAATAAACCAGACCGAGTCGAAATAATCCGTCCCGTAGAGCTGACGTCTTGTGCTCGATTCATCAGGCAGGATCATCCATAATTGCGTTCACATATTGAAATACGAATTAATCCGAGGGGTGGGTGGCTGTACCGTCTACCGCGCGCACTTGTGCATGTCATCGCTTATGCATGGCGGACGTACGATATGTCGATGACGATGATGATGACGATGACGACGACGATGTGCACGAGGCACGTAGTGAACCTCTCGATCAATTGTGCCTCACTGCGTGTATTCGAGAGACTGACACGTTCTCGATATAATACAAAATCAGCTGTAAATACTCATTACACCAACGAGCGCAGCCAAGGACTTTATTACAAATTTATCTCCAACGATTTCGTTTTCACCCGCACCCGCACACGCTAGCGGC